TGAACCGTAAAGTGCCATAAGATGACGTGTTCTGAATTGGCGCTATAGAAATAAACTGAATAGAACTGAGTCATGAGTTTTGATACACTCATAAAAAGCTGCAGAAACCACATGTGGCTGCAGGTTTTCCGGAGATGTCTCCACCAGCTTTTAACATCTGCGACGGGTGTTCAGATTGCCTTTCTCTCTACGATGTGGACATTACCTAAAGACAGAACATGTGGAAGCGCAACATTTTCCGATTCTGCAGATCTGTGTGCAGCAGCTCACCTTCTGGATGAAATTAAACTCTAACTGCAAACAAAGCTCATTTTTTTCCACCCTTCAGGGAACATAAATCTGGAAATATCTCTTTTTTTCAGACTAAAGAAACATTTCGCTGGCAGATCTAAGTTGGTGCTGCTTTCTGGGAGCTAATGGAGGTGTATAGGTTTGTTCCAACTCCTCTAAAGATCAGGATAAAGTTAGGGACAGACTGGTGATGGCCAGCAAATACGTTTATTAAAGGACTTTTTAGCAGTAAACTCCAGAAAGGAGGGAGGTGTGGAGGCCCAGGCCAAGCAGCCCAGAGTAATTTGTTCTAATCACGGTCATCTGCGCCAAGTTTCAATCAGCAATCCCCCAAACGACACTGATATTGATTCCTCTCGACAACGAATAACTCAGCTTCTGGCAGCGGCTGGAGCAAAGCTTGGAACTCTAAGCAGCTGCTGCACAGAAACCATGTGAAGCACGAAGCGTCTGCTCTGCAGGAGTGCTCAAAAGAAGCGGTAAGAGGTGAGATCAATCTGTTTTTACCAGAGAGATCCGGAGGCGGAGGTTCGGGAAGTTCGTCCGTTAGTGTCGTCTTCTCCTCCCCGGCAAGAGGAGAGCTGATGCCTCCGTCAAACATCCCAAAAACAGCAACAGAGTACTTTGTTCCTGCCCTGCCGGAAAATCAGAAAAACCTTACTGGTCATTTAAGGCGAAGCTGAACAGCAGCCCACAGAATAATTCTGCCACCATCATACTGCTAGAGTAAATTTGAAAATCATAAAAACATCTTTCTAGCTGACCTTTGTCTCGTCTGACCATCAAACATTGCAGCGTATTTTCATTATCAGTTCGTACGAAATCGTACGAAAAGTTATGCACAGTAATTTCTTACTTTTTTTCGTCGTATTTTTACGTCTTGCGATATCCTTGCGTTATCCTTCAATAACATAGAATTTAACATACAATTAACCCTAACCCTAAACCTAAGATACAAAACAGCAAGCAACGTAGTCGGAGACATCAAGAAGTGATTATTGCACTGTTTTTTCCATTTTTACGTCCGTCCGCGGATCTGCTTTTTTCGTCTGTCTGCATGTGAAAGCGCACTGATCTGTTTTTTCGGGGAAAAACATCCAAAACGTACGAAATACTGTGCATAACTTTCGTTCGTATCAGTTCGTATCAGTATCAGTTCGTATCAGTATCAGTTCGTACGATTTCATACGAACTGATAATGAGAATATGTTGAACATTGCTCCAGAAGACATTTGGAATTCCAATGTAGGCGGCATTTTATCAACTTCCCCCCCGTAGCCGTCCACGGTGAGACTGGTTCAACCTCACCGTGGACTGAGAGATTGCTGACCAAGAAAGAAGCTGTCAAACCCTCAAGTTTGCCTGAAATCTGCAGCCCACTTGGACAAATCAAGTGTTTTGGAGAAGGTCTTGATGGCCACACGAGATGAAGATCAAACAAGGCGAAGAAAAATAAGCAAGGTGGCGGTGCCATGATGCCCTGGGGCTGTTTTAAGGTAGGTCTAAATGATCCTAAACACTCTTCCAAACTGGTTCCTTTCAAAGCTGATGATTAGGAACAGGGTCTTCCTCAGGAAAACATCAATTCTAAATGAACTCTGCTCCTTCTGCCAAGCAGAAGTTGAGGGATCTAGATGATGATGTGGTGGTAAAGGGTGTACAAATAAAATCTTTGGAGCTTAAGCCTTTAGCAACTCACCTGAGCTCCTCCAGAACCACTGTGTTATCATATGGACCGACTAGGAGCTCCTCCAGGTCCACATCATTCTCTGTAGGGTGAAAGGTCACTTTATAGCCCCTAACATTCCCAGGAGCATGATCCCAGGAGACTCTAAAACTGGTCTTGGTTGGATCTGAGGTCTTCAGGTTTCTTGGAGCCTTGTAAATAGACACTACAGTGAAAGAAAAGAGAAAAAAACCTAAGGACAAACCAATCCAGAGAAAAACTGCTGGTAGAGGTGTGACGATCATTCAAACCAGTTGTTGTTAGACAATACTAGTCCTTGAACTCAGAGTGGATTAGTGAAAAACCTGGGCTCCAATAGCCCGGCTGACTAAGACATGTTTGGTGACATTAAAGAAGGTCTGCTGTTGTTTGATCTGATGTCCATGTCTCTACAGTGTCTTAGATAGGCATGTTTCTTTACTGTACTGTGTCTGAGATTGACATAACTTTATAGCGTCTCATGTGGCCATGTCTCTACAGTGTCTAAGATGGACATATCTAGTCTACATTGAACAGAAGGTCTGGGTTATTTACTTTTGCCTTCGCATTTTCAGTCTCATATGGCCATGTCTCTACAGTGACATGTCTCTACAGTGTCTGAGATGGACATATCTCTACAGAGTCTAATGTGGCCATGTCTCTACGGTGTCGGAGATGGACTCATCTTTATAGTGTCTCGTGTGGCCATGTCTCCACAGTGTCTGATAAGGACATATCTTTATAGAGTCTAATGTGGCCATGTCTCCACAGTGTCTGATAAGGACATATCTTTATAGAGTCTCATGTGGCCATGTCTCTCTGGTGTCTGAGATGGACATATCTTTTAGGAGTCTTTTGTGTCCATGTTTCTACAGTTTTTAAGATGGACATGTCTTTATAGAGTCTCATGTGGCCATGTCTCTACAGTGTCTGAGATGGACATATCTTTATAGTCTCATATGGCCATGTCTCCACAGTGTCTGATATGGACATATCTTTATAGTCTCATGTGGCCATGTCTCTGTGTTGTCTGAGATGGACAAGAGTCTTATGTGTCCATTTTTCTACAGTTTTTAAGATGGACATGTCTTTATAGAGTCTCATATGGCATGTCTCTACAGTGTCTGAGATGGACAAATCTTTATAGTCTCGTGTGTCCATGTCTACAATAACTGAGATGGACATATCTTTATAGAGTCTAATGTGGCCATGTCTCTACGGTGTCTGAGATGGACATATCTTGTCTACAGGGAACGAAAGGGTCTGGGTTATTCACTTTTGCCTTCGCTTTTTCAGTCTCATATGGCCATTTCACTACAGTGACATGTCTCTACAGTGACATGTTTCTAGAGTGTCTGAGATGGACACATCTTTATAGAGTCTCATGTGGCCATGTCTCTACAGTGTCTGATATGGACATGTCGTTATAGAGTCTAATGTGGCCATGTCTCTACAGTGTCTGAGATGGACATATCTTGTCTACAGGGAACGAAAGGGTCTGGGTTATTCACTTTTGCCTTCGCTTTTTCAGTCTCATATGGCCATGTCTCTACACTAAGATGTCTCTACAGTGTCTGAGATGGACATATCTTTATAGAGTCTTATGTGTCCAAGTTTCTACAGTTTTTAAGATGGAGATGTCTTTATAGTCTCATATGGCTATTGCTCTACAGTGACATGTCTCTACAGTGTCTGAGATGGACATATCTTTATAGAGTCTCAAGTGGCTATGTCTCTACAGTGTCTGAGATGGACATATCTTTATAG